ATCTCCCCCAGGGGGCAGCCACTCACCTCACTCGGCGGGGTGGCCCTGCTCTGAGTCGCAGTCCTCCCCCAGGGTCCCTCTGGACTTCCTGGCCTCCCCGGGCCCCCAGGACCCCCTGGACCCCCCGTAAGTATCTGTAGGAGCTCCAGCGTGTCGGGCTGTGTGAAGCCCTGGGAGGTGCCCCCCACCGGCACCAGGAACCCATGGGGAGCGGGGTGTGGCTGGCCAGCTGCCTGGGACCAGCAGGCCTGGGCCCTGCAGCCAGGAGGTACTGCAGGCACGATCACCCATCATTGTCACGTGCTTGGCACTGGCACCTGCGGATGTGGCAAAGGGTCTCCACGGGCCCTTGTGGGTGGAGGAGGACGTGGTCGGAATGGCCGGTGGCTACGGGTAGCTGGGAATACAGAGCGTGTCGGCATCTCTCTGTTCCAGGGACACCCAGGGATCCTCCCCGAAGGTGCCACTGACCTCCAGGTGGGCACCCACAGCCACGGCGCTGGGGCCGGGAGGTGTCGGGGTCTGGCCCCAGCCTACCACCCCGGGCCCTCCATGCTGCACCTCCACAGGGCAGGGAGCCCGGCCGGGCCTCCCCTGAGCCCCTCACCTCAAGACCACACTGTCCCTCCTTGCCACCGAGAGCCGTGAGCCCTGAGGCAGCTGCACGGCAGTGGGCCTGCTGGGGCCAGTGGGCATGCACTGGGCAGGACGGCCATTCCCCTCCTCTCGGAAACTTTGAGACCAGAGCCCAGACTCACTCTTATGTGAGAAGTAGCGTGGGCCAGACCTGCCTCTGCTCCGCAGCGGTGCCGTGCCAGGCCTGTTTCCGTGGAGACCCCTCGTATCGTTAAGGGAAGACTCACCAGTCTGACCTAAGCTGGGCGCTGTTCAGTGGGTCTGTGTCCCATGGGGAGGGTTCGGAATGAGAAGAAAGTCAGACCCCTGACCACAGCAGGGGGCTGGTGACTGATGGCACCAGCTCGGCACCCCGGCCCCGCCTGCCCTGGCCCACTGTGGAATGCTCTAGAAACCCTCGTGCCTTCTGGGTCCCTGAGCCTCCACGTAGGGTGGCCCCAGGCCCGGGACAGCAGTAGCTGGCCATGCTCATGGCTAGGTCGCTCCTAAATGGGGTTCCAGCCTGCTGTGCCCTGTCCAGCACTGTGGCCGCCCTGCTGAAGGGCCGTTTAAACCCAGCGTCTGCCCGGGATGGGTGGGGGGGTGGCTGTGACAGACGGTGGCCGCAGCCCGGGGCCAGCGCTGATTGAGGCCCTGTGTGGCCCAGGCCCCCTCACCCCTGTGGGGCCTTCTCAGGGCCCCTCTGAGGGGCACCTCTGTGCTGGGAGTCCTGCTCTGCCTGGCCAGGGGTCTGACCGCTGTGTTCCCCACAGTGCCCAGCAGTCTGCCCGCCCGGCCCCCCAGGGCCCCCAGGGATGCCAGGGTTCAAGGTGAGCAGCAGCCGAGGGGGCTGGCCAGGCACCCCTCCATGCTGGCCTTCTGTGATGGCCCCAGTCGGGCAGGGAGTTGGGGGGAGTGCTGTCCCGCTGCCTGGCTCCGGGCCCGTGCCCAGGGCACGGCTAGGCTGGAACTGGGCTGTGAGGGTCAGAGGCCCAGACGAGGCCTGGGGAGGCGGACACCACATCCCAGCTGCCCCCCAGGCCCTCACATGCCTCTCACGCCTCGATTTCCCATCTGGGCTGGGCTTGCAGCCCTGAACCCTGGTCTGACTGGCTGTGCAGGCTTTGGTTCCTGTGGGGGGGTCTGAAGGCACAGGTGAGGCTGTGACCCCTAGTTCTGTTCCAGGGACCCACTGGCTACAAAGGAGACCAGGGAGAAACCGGCAAAGATGGCGAGAAGGTGACCACGGGCCGCACCTGGGCTGCCAACCTGACAGCTCGGGGCTGGGGGCCGCGTGGTGGGCACAGTTGTCCCACGCTTCCTGTGGGCCTGGCTGGCCAGGGCAGGTGGTTTTGGGCAGGGTCTCTAGATGGGCCCCCAGGTCACCCTCACTGGGAACCTCCCTGCATCGGGGGCTGTCTGTGAGGACCCTGAAGTGTCCCGGTGGGCACTGCCCACGATGAGAGACTGCTTGCCCTCACCCACAGGTGGGGGGTCAGCAGGGTGGCTGGGGGGGATGCCGGTGTGCAGTGGAGGGGTCTCGCTTGGCTGGGAAGGGCCAGGGGTCCCCAGGACAGGACACAGGCAGCCTGGGAGCTGCGGTGTAGCCGAGCGGGGACCAGGTCTGCTGCTCGGGGCTGGGCTGTGGGTATTGGCGGGCACCAGAGGGGCTGGAGGAGGCAGACGAGCCTGTACCCGCCTCTCTCCCCTGCAGGGTAACCCTGGACCCCCTGGGCCTGCTGGCATCCCAGGCACCGTGGGAGTGCAGGTGAGGCCAGGGAGGGGTGGGGCAGGGGCCACCCCAGAGCAGCTCCAGTGTCTGCCCACCAGACCTAGATGAGTACCACCAGTGTCACGCCTGGTGGCCTCTCCCGGGGGCCTGGGCTGAGAGCAAGGACTCCCGGGAAAGACACCGGGTGTCCAGGGGAACCCCCAAAGCCAGGGCTCTTCTGGTGTCCGCAGCCATGGCCCCTACCTCTTCATCTCCCTGTCCCTGCAGGGCCCCCGGGGACCACGAGGACTGCCAGGCCCACTCGGGCCCTCTGGGGACCGGGTAAGTCCTGCCAGCCCATTGGGTGGAGGCCGGTTAGGGTTGGGGAGGCTGGTCCCCCTCTCCAAGCTGAGCGGGGCCCCTTGGCAGCCTGCACCTCAGTTGGCTGCAGCCAGGTGGGCCCCCAGTCCCCTCCCTGTGAGGGGGACCTTGTTGTATCCTTGGGGGTGTCTCCTCCCTGTCCCCACACGGTTCCCAAAGCAGGTCTGTGAGGGCTGCTGCGGCCCGGGCCTGAGGGGAGTGCCGAAAACCTCCACAACTCCCTGGGGACCCGCCACGGCCTCTCCCGACGGGCTGGGTCACTGGGGTGCCGGCCAGGCTTCAGACAAGATTCCGGATGGCCCCCTCTCTGCTGCAGGGCCCCATTGGATTCCGAGGACCCCCCGGGATCCCAGGAGCACCCGGGAAGGTGGTACGTGTGTCTGGAAGTGGCCCTGTGAGGCCTATTGCCCCTTTCCCTCCACCTTACTCACACCACCCCGAGCCCCACTGGCAGGGCTGGTCCTGCGCCCCCATGCCGCATAGCTGAGCAGGGAGGAGGGGACGTGGCACTCCCGGGGAACGGCCACACTGCGAGGGACTTCACTGAAGGAGTCCATCCTTCGGGCCAACACGCCTCTCCCTTTGTCGCTGGAGGGAAGTACAGTGGCATCACCCCTCTGACCTCTGACCTCTGGCAGCATCAACTCAGCCATCTCTGAGGGCTTTTGGATGGCTGACCCCAGCCAGGGCGGCCCTCCGGCCTTCTCTCTGTGTTAACTCTATCCTCACCCCACCCTTGTCATTTCCAGGGCGCCAGAGGTGAGAGGGGCCCAGAGGGGCTCCGTGGCCCCAAGGGTGACCTTGTAAGTCAGAGGGAATTTGACTTCTTTGGGTCCTTCTCAGAAGAGCTGGTCTGGGTCTGCCTGGGCGGGGCGGGAGGGTGCAGGGCACCTGCCGGAGGGTTTAGCAGCTGTCCACGCCTAACCTTGCGTGGGGAGCATGGGAGTGAGTTCTAGGCCAGGGCTGTAGGGCCGGCCTCCTGGGTTCGAATCCTGGCTGCAGATGCCCTGAGCCTTGCAGCCCTGGGCAGAGCGGGCTTCCCGTGTGCCAAGGCTGCCGCTGCGGAGCGGGAATGAGCCGTGAGCATGGCAAGCCCGAGACGGGGTCTTCAGGCCTGAGCCGCAGCAATGTCCGCGCAGAACCCCAGGGCCCAGTTTCTGAGTACCGTGAGGCCAGGCCCAGGGCCTTCTGGTGGGTGACTAGGTGGGCCCGACCCAGCCTGCGGGCCCAGTGTCCAGACGCAGAGGCCGGGGGGCCAGCAAGGCAGTCCAGGAAGGGCTTTCTTAGGCCCTGCTGCAGCTGTGACCTCCCTGCCACTTCTGTGTCTTTAGGGCAGACCTGGTCCCAAAGGAGTCCCCGGAATGGCCGGGCCTGCTGGGGAGCCGGTGAGTACTCTGGGCTGCTGGGTGCACTCGGCATGGTGGCCATGGCCCTGGTACCACATGACAGACGTGGCCCTTCCTCTCGGCCGAGCGCCCTGTCGCCTGGAACTGCCTCTCCTCAGAAAGCACTCCTCCCAGCCCTGGCATGTGCAGGGCCAGCCTCCCAGGCAAGGGGCCTGTGGTCACAGGGACCCACCTTGGCATTTTGACGTTGGTAATCGTGGCCGAACAGCACCTCCGGTAGCACCCCGCATTTTGGGCTTGCACTGGGCCCCGCGGTGCAGATGCAGAGGGTGAAGGCAGGAGGGAGTCAGGGCTAGGGCAGGACTGGTGGCACCGGTGGAGGGCACTCCTGCCAGCGTCCCCTCCTCTGCCCCTGAGCCCAGACCAAAATCTCCTACTGGCCCCTCCGTAGGCTTCGTCCCCACCCCACCCTGGACAGGGACCCCTGGGTGTCCCCACGGTGCAGGATCACCTGAGCAGGCTGCAGGTTCAAGTCTGCTGTCCGTCTCCCAGACCTCAGCCATGCCCTAGCCCACCCGTCACTAGGAGTGTGGGCTGCAAGTCTGGGCTCCCAGGCCCGTTTCCCACCTGAGTCAGGTCACATGCCACCTGGCCCGGGGCACTGGAGCCTCTGGGCAGACGAGGCTCGAGGGGCCACCAGACACTGGCGAAGCCTTTGCTGCGTCTCTGCGGCCACCTACGCCCCTCTTGGAGGGCACTCCCCAGGAGTCTGGAGGGAGCAGCCCCATCCGGGGGGCGGGAAGGGGCCACTCCAGGGGCACAGGCCTCACACCGTGCCTGTCCCCAGGGCATGCCGGGCCAGGACGGCAGGGACGGCGTGCTGGGACTCGATGGCGAGAAGGTTGGTGCTGGCCAGGGCCGACGGAAGGGGCCCAGAGTGGGGTGAGCACCCCGCCTCGGTGTCCCCCGTTCCCTCCTCACCCCAATCACTGTCCTTGCAGGGAGAGGCCGGTCGCAATGGCGCCCCAGGAGAGAAGGGTCCCGATGGGCTGCCGGTGAGCGCGTGTGCGGCTTTGCAGGCTGGGCCGTTCTGGGGACTGTGTCTAAGAACCTGTGACAGCCGCTGCAGGGCTGCCTGCATGTCCGTGTGCACCTCACCTGCGTGCCAGCAGACATGGGCACAAGTGCCCGGCGGCCCCGGCGGGGAGGCCGTGGGAGCCCAGCCTGCCCCCTGGGCATGCCGCCTGTGCGCGTGCGGCCCGAGGCTGCTGTGCGGTTGGCAGCCTGACCACTCTCTCCTGCCAGGGACTGCCAGGCCGCGCAGGGTCCAAGGGCGAGAAGGGAGAACCGGTATGTGGCCACTTTCTCCTGGGCAGGGGAGGGAGCCCAAAGCCCTGGGTCTGCACGGAGGGGACCCAGGCGGGCACTCGAGGTCTCCCCTCCTCCACAGGGCAAAGCTGGGGAGCTGGGCGAGGCCGGTCCCTCGGGAGAGCCAGGCGTTCCTGTGAGTAACCCCAGCACCCCCCTCCCCTGCCCTGGCGGAGGACTGTGCTCTAATGTCTGCCCCCTGCCCGCCCCACAGGGAGACGTTGGTGTGCCCGGGGAGCGTGGCGAGCCTGGCCACAGGGGCTCAGCGGTGAGCGGGGGTTTGCTCGGCCGCGGCAGGTGGCCTGTTCTGAGCAGTCTGGGGCGGTATTTAGGGTGCATCAGTGGCCCCAGCCACAGACACAGAGACGGTGGGTGTGTGGGCAGGGGGGTCTCCCCTGGATCCCTCGCTCACTGGGGGCCATGGGGACCAGGCCTGAGCTGTCCCATCCTGGAAACCAGTAGGCTAGGCCTAGCCACAGGGCCCTGGGTGGGGGCAGGGAGCATGGGGGGGGTGGTTTGCCAGGCCTGGCTGAAGCAGGGTCCTGGGGGTGCTGGGCCCAAGGCCTCCTAACTGCCCCCCACAAGGCACCCCTGCCTCTGTCCCCAGCCCCATGGGAGGCGGTTGGGGCTCCCTAGACTGTGGCCTCCCACAGCCCCTCCAGGCTCCCGAAGCCTTAGGAGACCCATCCCCGCCCTACTGCTGTCTTCTAGGGGGCCCTTGGCCCACAAGGCCCTCCTGGGGCCACAGGCATCCGAGGCTTCCAGGTGGGTAAGGGTGTGTGAGGGCTGGGCCGGGCCGGGCTGAGAAGGGTGCTGGGAGGGGGCCTGTGGGCACTGAAGAGCCAAACCGTCCACAGGGCCAGAAGGGCAGCATGGGCAACACGGGGCTTCCAGGCCCCCAGGGCCTCCGAGGCGAAGCTGGTGACCGGGTAAGTGCCACGAGGCAGGGGTGCACAGAGCTGCACCCCAGCCCGTCCTTCAGCTCCCCTGCACAGCTCGCCGGCCCCGCCTCGGGGCCCAGAGGAGCAGGCGGCACAGTGAGCGCTCAGTAGCAGATGGGGGCAGCTCCAGGCCCTGCCCGCTCTGCCTGCCCACGCCCACTGACACTTTGGCGGAGGGTCACGCGGCTGTGAAATTTTCAGTCCCCAGGGCTCCAGGTGACCCACACCTTCTACCTTCTCAGGACTCATGCTCCTCGGTCTTACACAGCTGGAGACACTGGCCCTGGGGCTTGGGCAGAGAGGGCTTGTCCAGGGCCCTGCTGCTTGCTGGGCACGGCCTCCACTCCCCTGGGAGGGAGCTGCGGCTTGGTCTGGTCTGTGGGGCCCTGAGTTTGCCTTGGCCACTCAGCATGCCGGGTGGGGCATAGGCACCCCCGGGACGTCACTGTGGCCCAGGCGGTGGGGGGTGGTGGTGGTGGAGGGGGCCGCTGCTGTTCCTTCATTCCATGGAGAGGCCCTCGAATACCTTCTGGGCAGGTAATTCCAGGGGCGGAGGTTGTGCCAGCACCCCAAGGGGTCTGAGTTGAGGTGCCAAGGGCTGAGGGGGGGGTCCTGGCTACTGGTGCCCACACATGCCGGTCCCAGGACCTCACGCTGCCACTTGGGCAGATGGGCATTTTTGAGAGGGTCCCAACACTTCCCAGACGCGTCCCTAGCCTCAGTCCAACGGGAAGGTAACTGGTGTGGGCCTCTGGACCTTGCACGTGGCAGTCCCGGCGGCAGGCTCAGCGGGGCCGTGTGCGGTGGAAGGCGCCGCACGTACAGGGCCTCGCCTGGGCCGAGGGCGGAGAGGGTGGGTGCCCAGGGGTGAGGTGGGCCGGGCACTGTCCCTCAGCGCCTGTGAATGCGGGCTTGGCATCTGGGGCCGTGGGCAGGCTGGCCCCCACGGGCAGCCCTCAATGGCCACTCCCAGGCCCGGGCAGGGAATTCCTGGCCCCATACCTCGTACCTCGGTGGAGGCCGCATCAGGGGTCCCTCTGATGTATCTAACCAGAGCCTCTATCTGCCCCAGGGCTCAGGAGGTGCCGCGGGCCCTAAGGGAGACCAGGTGAGCAGGGCTGGGGGCAGGTCAGAAGGTCCTGTCAGAGGGCGGCGAGCTCTGGGTGTTTTCAGCCCCCCGGGCGGGCCCTCATGGCAGTCCCTCCCCTTCTTGCTCCCTCTCATGGGCTCCTGCTCAGGCGACAGTGACAGCGACCCTGGGCCTGGCAGGAGCCCCGGGTCTGGCCTGGCAAAATGGTCACCAGGCAGCTCTGGGTACAGTACCTCTGCTCTGGGAGGCAGTGACAGGGACCCTCACAGGGGCACGTGTTCCCTGCTGTCCTGGGACACTGTGAACGCGACGGAGGGTTTGGCCTGGGCTCCAAGCCCTCACTCCGGAGCAGGTGAAAAACGTGTCCCGTCTCTGGAGAAGCGCAGAGTGGGCAGGGCGGGGCTGCTGTGCCGGTACCTCTCACAGTGCCTGCTCCCACCGCCGTCCAGGGCAGAGCTGGCCTTCCATGGCAGTCCAGAGCCCACGCCAACTGCCCTCAGGGCGAGTGCTGCACACCAGGGCTGAGAACAGGGCTTAGGGCACGAGGTCGCCGGCGTGTGGGCAGCTCTTTGACGTGGTGGGCGTCTTTCAGGGCATTGCCGGTTCCGACGGGCTTCCTGGGGATAAAGGAGAGCTGGTGAGTGTGACTACGCCAACAACCGGGAGCGGACGTGTCACCTGGGTGGGGACGGCCTGTGGGACCTGGCAGGAGACCTCGCAGCTGTGCAGAGGCACATGTGGGTGGCGCCAGGTTGGGCTCGGGCCTGGCCCCGGTGGGCCGCATGCTCAGCTCGGGCCTGCTGGGCAGGGTCCCTGCACTCCCCTTGCTGGTCACGCTGCTTGCAAAGCTGCTCCAGGGGCTCCTGGCACGAGCTAGCCACAGCTGGGTCTAACTGAAGAAACCGCCCCATGGGGTTCAGACCCAGCTCGAGCCACAGGGAAGGCCCAGCCGGCCAGCTGAAGACTCGCGGCTCCCCTGGGAGGCTCGGGAAGGGGGTCGACCACGAGTGCTGGGGAAGGGCCTGGCTGCCCTTGCACGGCCGCATCTCTGGTTGTCCAGTGAAGTCTGTCCTCCGTGTCTGGGTGACGTGACGGGGCTCAGCCCCTGGGATGCCCGTCTGGCAAACCCCTGGGCTCAATGTAGGCCTTAATGCCTGTAGCCAGAGTCATCCCCGTGTTTTTGGGTATTTTTTAGTTTATTAACATTTATTTATTTATTTACTTATTTCTCTTCCTTTGATCAGAGAGGAACAGAGTGAGAGAGAGAGAGAGAGTGAGAGAGAGAGAGAGGGAGAAGGATAGTGAGAAAGCAAGCCACCGGGTCTGGGACTTGAACCACGGTTGGCCATGTGGGAGTCCAGTGCCCTTAACCGCCACCCACCTGCCAGCCTCCCTCCCCGAGTATTTTATTTTGGCAAGTTCTTAGTCAAATGGGCCTGGACCTCCCGAGATGCGGCCCTGCCAGGTGCTGTCAGGGATGGCATGGTGGCCAGTGCCGGGGGGACAGCCCTGCCAGCCGGGAGTCTGGTGCTTGGCTCTGGGCGTCTCCCTCTGGCCTCTCGGCCTTGCCTGGGAGTGTCAGCCAGTCGGCCTGAACACAGCGCAGCGTGCCTGAAGACGAGGGGCCAGGCCACACCTGCTGGGTCACAGGGTTCTATGGGTGCTTTGCTATTTCATCCTCCACCAATAACGTGCTGAGGGCCCCTGGGAACTATTTCCCACCCAACTAACAGCATGCAGGGGCTGAAATGCACCCCTTCCTTTGCAGGGTCCCAGTGGCCCTGTTGGGCCCAAAGGAGAGGTGAGTGCCGGCCGCCCATTCCCATGGCAACCCTGAGGGAGTCTGCAGGCTCCTGCTCACGTCAGCATGGTGGGCGTGGGCACTGCCTGGACCTAGGGTCATGGCAGTGCTTGGCTGGTCACCATCAGGGAAGATGGGCAGGTGTGGGCTGGAGTGCTGTGCAGGGCCTGCCAGCCACCTCCCGTGTCCCTGTAGTCTGGCAGTCGAGGAGAACTGGGCCCCAAAGGCATCCAGGGTCCCAACGGCACCAGTGGCGTCCAGGGCGTCCCCGGCCCTCCCGGCCCCCTGGGCTTCCAGGGTGTCCAGGGCACCCCCGGCATCCCCGGGAAACCAGGCGTTCCGGTACGTCACCCTCCTAGACCCCTCTCCTGAGGTTAGCCTGGGCGCGGGCCGGCAGGGTGCTCCCAGGAGGCTGCCCGCGCTGATGGTGTCCACGGGCCTTCCAGGGGAAAGAGGCCAGCGAGCAGCGCGTCCGGGAGCTGTGCGGGGGCATGGTCAGCGGTGAGTCACCAGGCCGGGGGCCCAGCAGCACTGGGGGTCCTGCCTGGGGTTACGCCAGAACTTGGGGTCCCGAACACTCACTCCGCCCACCGGAGTCCTCGGGGTCCTGCCTGTGCTCCTGCAGCCAGCCTGCTGCCCTGTCCCTGTCCCCGTCCCAGATGAGGCTCACGTCCCCAAGACATCACGTGATGCCTGGAAGTGTCCACTCAATGCCATGGTCCCCAGGAACAGACGGCTGGCCCCCGGCTTGCAGGGAGGGTTTCCTGAGCGCTCCCAAGGGCCCCATGCCCCCCCGACTGCAGGAGTCGAGGCGCCCCGAGACGGGACCTTAGGCACCCAGTCGCTGTGTGCCCTCCTGCGCATGCGGCATGACTTGCAACACGTCACGCACAAGCCCCGCGAGCCTCTAAGCCAGCCTGCCCTTGTCTCCCAAAGAACAAGTCGCACAGCTGGCTGCGCACCTGAGGAAGCCCTTAGCGCCAGGACCCATCGGCCGGCCAGGTCCAGCAGGCCCCCCGGGCCCCCCGGGCCCCCCAGGTCCCAGCGGGCACCCTGGTGCTCGAGGGCCGCCTGGGTATCGTGGTCCTACCGGGGAGCTGGGAGACCCCGGACCCAGAGGTGAGTGGTGGACCCAGGACACAGTCGCCTGAAGCGCGGGTGCGGGAGCAGCCCTGTGCTTGGTGCCGTTCTCCTCTGGGGGAAGGGGCCGAGAGTGGGCCCAAGGGCAGGCCAGGGGCCGTCACCTGGCACGGACCAATCAGGTGCCAGACCCTGCTAAACGCTTCTGGGTTCCCTGAGGGGGGCGGACCCTCCCTGACACACTCCTGGCCTCGCCCGTCGAAATGCTGTGAGAGCTCCTCTCACTAGACCCTGCTCTGGCCACCTGCCAGGGTTCCCGTGGGCCAGGAGCCTCCTTGCCTCGGAGCCTGGTCGGGAGCCCCTCACTGGCCCGCAAAGGCAGGTGTCCACTCACCCATCACGCCACCGCGGGGGAGGCTGAGCCGGTGCGCCGTCTCGGCTGTGTCTCGGCACTTTCTTGTGAACCAGAGAGGGACAGGTGACCGGCCTTGTCCATGAGACTGACGGCAGGTGCACACAGGCCACCAGAGGGACCACTCATGGCATGTGCTGGCCGTGCATTGCAGCCGCCGCCAAAAGGCAGGGGGGG